TTGTCAGGATCAATATCCTTTTCCTCGTCAATCTTAAATAGAGACATAATATATAGTATATGATTATAAAATGAGATTTATCATACCCCATAAGCTTGTTTTGCTTTTCTACCATACATCAGCTCATATGGTGTAAATTAAGAAGATAGATTCGTGTAGAGAAGTGTTATAGGCAAATATTATGCCAGGCAAGGCATCTGTCCAAATTAATTGATCATCCTTAATACACTTTAGTAGTGCATTTTGGATTGACCTATTCACTCTTTCAACCATGCCATTTCCTTGAGGGTGATAAACACTTGACACCCTCTGCATAGTCCCTATGAGTTTATGAAAATTATTGCTTATTTCATTCACAAACTCACGTCCTTGATCATTAATTTGAATCATATATAATATTAATATTTTATTACCAAATTTATTATACTTTTGCCCTACCATGTGTGCATAGTAACGAGTAAAGGAAGCCCGATACCGATTTTGCCGTTTTATCTTTTAAAGGCATGGCTACAATATATTTGCTGAAATAATCAACTGCTACAGCAATGTATTTATAGCCATCCTCACTTTCAGGCAAAGCACGTAAATCAACACCTATTTGTGTCCATACCTTTTGTAAAATAAAAGATTGTTGTTATATTATATACTCCATTAGGAGGTTAGGTGTCATGTTATAAAGTAAAGCTGCTTACCATTATTTATGATTGCAGCTGAAAAAAAAACATAATAATAAAGAATGAGGTAAAATCTAAATTAGCTAAAAAATGAAATTATGATATATATATCAATTTTTACCTGAGATTGAAGGGGACTATATTGATTTTATTTATTATATTTTCAGATTATAAGTTTTAATTATTAGATTATATGCAAATTATATTTTTATTTTGGACTGTTATATTAACCTTAAAGAAACTAAAAATGAATATATGATATATTTATTGTAAAAAAATTCAATAAAATTTAAATGGTTCAATATATGAAACCAACATAACTAATAAAAACAAGTGCCACATACATATAAGCTATAATAGACAGATCATTAATAAGGCTACAAATGAAAAATATAAAATACATAAACAAAAATTAGAAACAATTATAATGACCAAACTATAAAAATTTTCAAATTAAGGATTTGTTATGTAATCAACTTTAATACCTTTGTTGGGATAGGAATTGAATGTAACTCATTGTTAGTTTTGTCAAATCTTGTGTTGCAAATATCACAACATTTTACAAAATTAACCACATCCAATTTCATATTTGGCCACCAGAAGCTAAAAATATTATACATGATATAATAAATAGATTTATTATGCAGAAATATTTTACCTTCTAGTCAAGTTGCTGTGAGTCTAAGTGATACCAAAATGGTCAGCTAAAGATTTTGCCTCATTAGTATCACATCCACTCCACTATAACTTTTTAAAGAAGTTAAACTCTTCTGTTACAATCTAAAATTGTTTCACTATTATAAAAATGGTGAAACAATTTATTATTGTGTATTATATTTAAAAATATATTATTGATCATATAATATTATAATTTTTATATATTTTACCTACCAGCCAATTTGCTGTAAGTCTTGGTGATACCAAAATGGGCAGCAAGAGATATTGCTGACACATTAGTATCACATCCACTGTGAACCATTTGAAGAAGTTGAATTCTTCGGTCAAGGTCCAAAACAACTCATTATGAGAATGGTTATGCATTTTACCCTTACAAATTTTATATCTCGAGGCCTGAACTCGCAGATTGCGTCTTAAGCCTTTATTGGAAGACATAGATGATGGATATTTTTGGTAAAGGATATAATCCTGTATCTCATCAAATTCTATTAAAATGAATAGAAATATACTAAACAAAATTTATTTACTTGATTTATCGTCTTTCGTCATTTGATTGGGGAAACAAAGGAAAATTTTGGTATCAAAAACAACTGTTGAAATGAATAAAAAAATAATATATATAATAAATGGCCCGTCCATATCCAAAAATTTAATTTATAGTATTTAATGAAAATATAGAATATTTCAGTGTATTTAGTCAATCATTTTGTTTGCAAACTGAAATTTATCTTATAGAAAAAATTTGCAATATTTTTTTAAGTTAGCAAATATTTAAATAAACTGAAATACAATAAATATATTATTCAATGTAAATAAAGAATATTTCAGTGTATTTAGAATCATTTTGTGTGCAATACTGAAATTTATCATATAGAAAAATTTTGCAATATTTTTTAAGTTAGCAAAGATTTAAATAAACTTAATTGGAAAGAAAAATTATCAGGCCCAAGATCATATCCAAAAATTTAATTTATTGTAAATTTGCAATATTTTTTTAAGTTAGCAAAGATTTATAATTACAATAATATAAAGAATATTTCAGTGTATTTAGGCAATCATTTTATTTGCAATACTGAAATTTATCATATAGAAAAAATTTGCAATATTTTTTAAGTTAGCAAAGATTTAAATAAACTTGGAATGAAAAATTATCAGGCCCAAGATCATAATTTAATTTATTGTAAATTTGCAATATTTTTTTAAGTTAGCAAAGATTTAAATAGCTTAATTGAAATAAAAAATTAGTAGGTTAAAATAAATAAATATTCTATTAAAATTCCTAAAATTTATTATTAGAAAAATTTATAATCATTTACTTTGTAAAGTTGAGTATTGGTAGAATAATAGGTTTTTATGCCAGTTTATAAGTTAATCGTTGTTATGATGCTATCAAATATATATAAATAATTTACTTTAAAATTAATTAAATTAAGATATTAGAAGGATATATTATTTACTACTTTGCAAAATTTGTAGGCCAGCAATATTTACAATTGATCTTGATAGATTCTTCATAAATCTGATTTAAACGAACTCCCACTTCAATCAAATATGTCATTATCACTAAAAAATAAGGTTAAATCTTAACATGTCAGTCATAAATGCCAATATCACTAAATTAGAATCTATTTAAATCGGGAGTTCATTTAAAACGTTACACCGGCATCAAAGCACCCCCACCCCATAACAGACCCTCCCCCGAATTTGACTGTAGGAATTATGCAGTGATCGCTCATTCGCCCAGCTGAGCAGCGGATATATTGCCTTTTTTTAGAACCGAAGATTTCGAATTTTGACTCATCACTCCATAAGACCTGGTATCAGTTGGCAGATGTCCAAAATTGATGTTTTCGTGCCCAGTCTAATCGCTTGAGTTTATTTTTTTTGCTCAAGAGTTGGCTTTTTGACCACTACCCTACCATAAAGTTCAAAGCTCCTAAGGCGCATTTTCACAGTTGTCACACTTATCGGGTTTTCCCGAGTCAGGTTAATCTCTGAGGCGACAAAACGTCGATTGCGTTTACTGATCCTTGTTATATATCTATCATCGCTTAAAGTCATTTTGCGGTGTCTTCCAGGTCTCTTTGGATTCGATATTGTAATATTGCGTAATCTTTTAAGTATACAATCGACTGTTCGTTGAGCTAGGGGTTTTTTCTCTGGAAATTCGGCGATTACTTTTACCACTTATGTGTAAATTAATTATTTTGCATTTAGTTGGAATAGAAATTTCTCTTTTAATCATTTTGATCGAATGTTCGTTAAAGACTAAAAGTTTCTTTAAACAATGATTTAAAACAAAAAAAAATCTAGGAATTTTTTTAAAATAATTAAAAATGGGTTTTAATAAGCAAATTAGAATGTGATTAGTGACTTTCTTCCAGAAAACAATGGGCAACTTAAAATTGTTGCTGAAAAAACTAATGAACCCTATTTTACCAAACATGTCATTTTTGAAATGTTGTTTTCAAAGGCTAAAATTTCATAGAAAAATTTATAGAAATTCCGAGTTTTTTATTTCTAAACATCTCTAGACATCTTAAATTAATTAATCAATTCGCTTTTACCCAAATAAATTAAAAAGTTTTGAGTTATTAATTTTTTATGTAAAAATGCATGGGCAGTCATTTATGGCCGGTATTGTATATTCATATTTTGATTTAAATACATGAAAAAGTAAATTTTAGCATTTTACAAAGATTAGAAAATTAGAGGTAAAAAGTGTAAAATAATAAATATTAAATATTTTATTGCCCTTTTAAGATAAGTTAAAGAGAACACTATCCATGCATATTTTAGCCAATGAGCAGTTATTAGGTTAAATTTGAAAAACTCTGAATAATATTAAAAAAATAATTTACCAAAAAAGTTATAAATATTAGCAAAACATTTACTAAATATGCTTATTTCAATCACAATATCCTTGGATGTATTGCAAAACATAGAACCTATCAGATTGTGTCAAATAATGATTGACAAACCTGGTGTATTAATAATTAAATAACAAAACAAATCGGAAACGTTAAAATAAAATCGTCTCCTACATTAAATAATGTCTCGAATTTTGAGTGGTGGATGTGGAGATCCTAAAATAGATTTTTTGTTGGTGATAATACAGAAATAATCTTAATCAAACTTTGATATTATAGCCTTTCAACTTCTGTGTAATATATGTTTTCCTCTTTTGACCCAGGTTAATCCAAGCAGACTTTTTCGAAAAATATTTAATGATTAAATCTTATTTAGTTTGTTATTTTTGAAATTTACATTTAAAAAGAAGTACCAGTTTTATATTTGAGTATTGTTTGTTGGTGTTAGAGATTCAAACTAGATCAAATGTAAAAAAAGCTATTATTATTTTTTTTAAGCTTCGGGAAAACACCACTAAATAATTTTGACTTATTAAACTGCATAATTTAATTATTATATTTAATTAAAATAAAAAAAAGTTGAAATACAATTGATGTATATTTCTAAACCCTGTTTTGAAAGTTTTTCGGTCCAATCTTTTGTTCATCACACAATCTAAACTGGACCGTTAAACTTCGCGATTTGTGAGACAGCTGTCAATTTGTGAATCTAGGAAGGATCGATTCTAAAGGAGAAATGAAAATAATGAACTTTTTATCACAATAAAAAAAATTTCAGAGACAATCGTCGAAATTCTTTCCGACTTTTCGCTTTCGTTTGTTCTTTCCAATCAATTTCCCGTCAATCATTCAATCGATTCAGTCGCATTACATCTGTTTCGTCGAGATGCCTCTTTACAGTTAAAAAATTTTTTTTTTATCATTCATTTCCTTTAAACTTAATTTATTTATTTTAGAGTATATCAGAGACTTACAAGCTCCGAACCTACGGACCTAAAAATTTATTAAAAATGATAAATTCGAGCCGGGCCAATTTTTAAAAAATTAAGAACCCGGGTAGAAAAAAATATGAATATTTTTTTTAGTGATATGAATATACTTTTTTTTGTGCACAAATTAATTATTTTCTTTTTCTAGATTTTTTTAAAAAATGAGGCCACTAATGAAATATCTAGTAACGCCACTGATGCCTGAATATAAGAGTGTTCTATTTACGTTTTTTATCTTAAAAGAAAAAAGGAGGAAATCGACTAATACCCAAATGACTATAAACCCAAGGAACACATTTTTATTTAAACAAATTTTGAATGGTCCCGCCGGGATTTGAACATATTTGGTTTCAAATTTAGTATTTTTTCTTAAAACAAATATTTATCAGAAATACGCAATCACTCAAACACGATTTTTCTCGAGACCTTTTCTTAGCCAAACTCTTAGCCCAAAAGAATTCCGACCAAAAAATTAGAAGTTTTTCATATCCCAATCGAATTTTCGGCCTTTTTTGTGAGAGGATTTTTGAAAATTCGCGCTATCTTAACCCGAAGAAAAAGAGTCGGTGGAACACAGTCGAACAACAAACCAGTTACTTATACTATATTAAAAAAAAATTATTTAAAATTACTTGGATTGATTGATTAGGAGACTTAGCTCGATTCAAAAACTAAAATATTCAAATATTGATTTTGAAAATTCAAAAAATTTGGACTTAATTCGCTAAAATTTTTTACAGGCCTAGATTTTTACAGATCGAATGAGTAAATTCATATTAAAAATATATTATATTGGCTGGGCTCCGAAAAAATAGTTTCATGGATAGAAGCCTATAAAATTCTTATCCGGGGCCTGGTCTAGCTGATTTCTACTAGCCCTTTATTTATTTATTTTTTATACCCATTATTATTTTTATGTCTTATAATTTCTGAATTTAAAATTCAAAAAATAATTAATTAAATATTATTTTTAGCTAGCGGGGTCATGAAAATCAAAAAATAATTAATTAAATATTATTTTTAGCTAGCGGGGACATGAAAATCGAAGAGCGAGGCCGACTTCTGGGAGAAAATCCTTTGCGATATAATGATAACGGTAATATATTTATATATTTACTTTTTTGAATGACCCAAAGATTGTTATTTTTTGTAAAAAAGTGTTTTTTAAATTTAATTTTCCTTGGCTTTGATCTACTTTTAATTCAACACTCCTACGTTGTTAGTTTAAATAGATTAGAGCTAAGAAAGGTAAAAGTTAAAAAAATAATATTCGAAATTTTTTTTGTCCTATGTCTTGAGAAAAATTTTTGAATCTTACTTTCATAAACTTGTTTTAAATTTAATTTAAAAAATATATGTGGCGATACACTTAATTTAAAATATAAATTATTTCAACTATATATCTTTTTTATTTCAAGTTAATTTCTAATAGCGAATAATATAAAAATGAATACAATTTTCCATGTAAAATTATTCCATAAAAATGATAACTCGCTTTCTTTTTTTAATCAAATAATTAATTAAATATAAACAAAATACAAGAATAAAATGATAGGTTCATCTTATAAATGTGTATAGATTTGTAAAAACACTACATGCCCCACCCCCACCCCGAATAATACATGACCACTAAATACAAATACACATAGGACGTTTATCATTAACTCCAAACTTTATATTTATACATTTATAACATTTTTGCTGAAAATACATTATCTCTAGCGACTATTATAAGAATTCATAAATTTGGCTTTTTATCTAAGGAGGATGCAATCGGAATCGTCTCTGCTACGTACTTCCCATAAGAAATGCGTTTTTTTGTTCATAGGAGGACTAAAAAAAAATACTATATAATTTCCTACGGCTATTATTATTTCTATGTAATAACATTAATATTTCCCCAATTAGATTAAAGAATTTGGGCGAGTGACCAGTTGAATGGTGATAATTAAATATTTTAAATTTATTTAACGAATATTTTGAATTTGTCCTGAATTTTAGTCATGAAATTGCTGTAGAACGGAATTATGTAAAATTTTTGGAACATGAGCTGGTAAAAGGATAAGATTATACAGTAGGGTTGTTAATATAATTAATATTGAATCAATATAGGTATGTTAATTTATACTCTCTAATATTATAATAAATTATAAAGAATATTAATGTCAATAGTTCTTATTTCTTCAGATGTAGGTAAGTTAACTCTCCCTGGCTCCTGTATGAAACATTTTTTAAACTAATAAAGAAAATAAAGGGTGCTAAGTCTTTTGTAAGTTTAGTGTGCCCCAATTCAATTTGAAAAAAGATCGATAAAAATGTTTTATAACAATTTTGTAATTATTCAGACGCAAAATATGAGTTTGTTGATTGAATCGAAAAAATACGAAAATATATTTATTTTTTTCTAATGAGAATAATTTACATTGTACATCATATTTTTTTTAGCCAATAAAACTTCTCCCATCAGTAATCCCGAATCAATTTCATTGAATATGCGCGAAAATAAGGAAATATCGAAAGCCCCGCTCTATACCCCTTTCGCCAATAACCCGCTCAAAAAAGACAGATTCTACATGTTCCTCAAAAATTTTGACCAACTTAGTCGGTTCAAATCTGATCCACTTTTGGACAAAAATGACAAAACATCTAAAGAAAAAGATAAACTCAAACAGATCCTCAATTCTTTGTCAGGCTTAGATAAAGGTATATTTTAAAAATATTATTACTTTGCTTTCATTTTCCACCAATTTATATTCATAATGAATGAAAGGATATTCTTAAAAAAGATAGTAAGAAAAAGATAGAAAGTACAAAAAAATACTATAAACAAATAATTACCTTTACTTGCCAGAATTCTTATTCAAATCTTTAAACTATTCCGGCCTCACCGAATGGGAAGCTGAACGCGAGAAGGTCGAATTCATCAATATCCTGCGTTTCACTGGAATTTTTAATTTTACTCAATCTTCCCATTCCAGTCTTCCGGTTCACACGGATCGTAAAAATGACCACAAAGCTTTCGAAAAAGATTCTCTGGGCATGAATGCGTTAATGAGTAGATTCAGAAAATCTGCCACCAATCTCACTCTTAGAGATGAGGAAAATTCTTATTTAAAAGTTTTTTTATATTTGTTATAAAAGAAAGAATAGGTTTAGAGAATGGAATACTATTTTAAAAAACTGCTAACTCAATATTTTAACCAAGAAAATATTGCTTAGGCCCGAGATTTCGCTAATAGATGTCCAAACCTTTGTGCCATCTCTAAGCAGAGTCCTCAATTTTGCGTAGCATTTTCTGAATAAAATATTGAGTTAGCCTTTACTTGAACGGGGTGGGGGGGGGGAGGTTGGACAGACTTCGGGCAGATAGAAATGTAAAGGTCAAGGAATTTATTTTTCAATTTAAAACATATGTATTATGACATCTATACAATAATAAGTTATTAAATATAACAAATGTGATATGCCCGGGTCGAATTTTTACCTAGCCGGTGGCACCGGATATCTAATAAGTATACACCATTTTTGTGTATTGAATCGGAAATTATACTTTGAAAAACATAATTATTTTATGACAAGTGTTTTTAAAATAAAACACTTCTAAATAGGAAGAGGGAATCCAATATCTAAATTGCTACGATCTGTATTTTTTTGTATTGTTATAATACAGGTAGGTCAAGATTTTTTTACTCTTTTGATTTTAAAAATTCTTAAAATTTAGGTTCTGAATATCTGTAAAATGTGAATCTGAATGAAAATTCGAAATAATTATTGGACTTGTGATTCCCTGTTGAAATAACGATTGATATTTATTGTTGAAGTGGAAACCAAACCAGTAATACATGTTAAAATCATGCTAAGGAGTAAAAGTTAAGGACGATACCATTTGAATTGAGAATTCTGTTTATATCTAGATAGCATCTTTGCACACTGATGGAAGAACAGATTAATGTCGCAACCTAATCGCAAACCTATTGTGACTTCTAATTCTCGCTTAATTAATAACATCCCTATAGGCAAGGTAAACTATACAGTCCAATGATGCCCATTATGGAAAATTTGAGATTTAGGGATATTTAATTGTCAAGTATCATTTATTCTAAAAATATATGTTCCAAATTTTCTCTAGGAAAACGAGGAAGAAGCGGCCTTGGCGCGTTTGATAGAATCTAAGCAATTCGGTTTAGGATTGACACGTATCATCAGTGATTGGCATCCCGACCCTATCGTTTGCAAAAGATTCGGGGTCAAATATGTGGGAGAAGATTTACAAAACGTCGGAAATCAAGGAATCAAAGAAATCGAAGTGTTTAATAAAGGTTGTTTTACTGGTTAACGGTGCATATATGCACCACCTCCTATATATCATATTTAAATATAGTAGTTTTTATTTTAAAATATAATAAATAAGGTTTTTATATAGTTCAGACATTGTACTTCAAAACTGGAAGAAAAAATATGAAAAAAATATTTTTTTATGTCCCTAAGAAGCCCTCAAATTTATGAGGTCTAAAATGCAAAATTCTTTAAGTGATCTCACGAGCATATTATGGAATTATTTCGATGAAAACTAGTGTGCATTTCTTTTTAGATATATCAATATTTATCAATCATTTTTGAATTTTTAAATAATTAAAATTTTAATAGGTAACCACATAAAGTTGACTGGTGCATATATACACCGTTAACCATCTAGCAGTATAAATTATTTTATAAAATACAAAAAAATCAAATTTAACATAATAAATTATAATTTTTTATATTATACTTAAAACCCGTCACTAAGGGGAGGAGGGGTGGGGGGTAGTTTGAGCCCCCTGAAAATTTGAAAAAAAAATTGTATGAAATTATTCGCAAATATTCGGTTCATAAATATTCATAAAAATTTTAAATTATTTGTAATCTCTTCCTTGCTGAACATTTTATTTTTAAATTTATTTAATTTTTTCTTATTATGCACCTGTTTTGTCAATTCAATCAAAATTATCAAAATAATAGATGACTAATTAAAAATCAAGATTCTACGAAAATAATTTGTCTAAATATGTAATTTTTAATAAAATTTTTAAATGAATCGTTTTCTGACAATTGAACACAAGCGCTTGCTCAACTTTTTGAAGAGGAACCAATTGAAGAAAGAGATATAGTTATAATTCCTCCAAACCCCTCTGCAATTAGTGATGAAGAAGATTTCGACGAAAGTGACTTGACAAATGACGTAGCTTTGCCTTCAGATACAGCTGGAGGAAATTCATAATTCAGTTGATGACGACCTTCCAGAACTATCTTCTACATAAAGCTATTCTCGAATTTCTCACAATTTAAAATGGAGAAAAACAAATGCAATATATTCTTCAAGGCCTTTCAATGGGTAAGAGGAATATGGAATAAAACATGAAAATGATTTACAAGGTAAAGGTCCATCAGTTATATTTTCTTTAATTTTCGACGAAGACTTATATTCCCTAATTGTAGAACAAAGTAATATTTATGCAAAACAAATGAATAGACCTAACAAATGCATAACTATACAAGATATTAAAAGATTTATTGGAAATCTATTATTTACTAGAAATGATAGCGATATATCTTCTATTCCAATAATCCGGAATACAATGACCCAATTATAATTTCGAAATTGAAATATAATATTCATTTGGTAGACAATACTGAAATAGATATATATGATAGATTTTATAAAGTTAGGCCTTACATTAATATATTGAATAATAAATTTCAACAATTCGGAATTTTCAAACATCATTTATCAATAGGTGAACAGATGATACCATATCGAGGAAGACATTCTTGCAAAATGTTCATAAAAGGAAAACCAATAAGATTCGGATACAAATCATGGATATTGGTCTCTTCCGACGGTTATGTATTCTCATTTAATATATATCAAGGAAAAAGCCAAAATAAATATGAATATTTATTAGGTGGAAGTGTAATTATAAAATTATTAAAAGCATTACAAAAACCAAATTATCAAAATATATTTTGCTTTACCTCATTTAAACTTTTGTCATACTTAAAACAATGGGATATTTTGCAACTGGAACTGTGAGGGACAATAGAATAGAGCATTGCCCAGTTGAATCTATAAAGGTTGTAGCAAAAAAAGAAAAAGGATATTATGATTATAGGTTCGAAAAATCAAACGAAATATTTGTAGTTCGTTGGAATGATAATTCGGTGGTAACCGTTGCATCGACATGCCACACTACTCTTTGCTTTCTAATGTTTCAAGGTATTAAGAAAATATTTTCTAAAATATTAATTCCTCAGCCAAATATGATATGCTTATAACAAACACATGGGTGGAGTTGATCTGTATGATAATCTCATTATATCTACTTATAGAATAAAAAAAGAGGAAAAAAATGGTGGTGGCCAATATTCACCAATTTATCGATGTAACTTTGGTAAATTCGTGAATCGAGATGACAAGAAGAGTTTGCTTACATTTAGACGAGAAGTTACTAACTACCTCCTTCGAACACCAGTAAAAATTGAAAAAAATTTAAGTACAGGGCACGCCAGCCAGTTTGCATTACAGAGTGAAAACCCAACTGATTCGGACATTATTTATCCAAAATTATAGATGGAAAAAGACGAAAATGTAGATATTGCCATTTGCACTCAAGATATATGTGCCAAACATGTCAAATCGCACTTCATATTAAATGTTTCAAGAATTTTCATAATATATAAGCATTTTCTTGTTTTTTATTATAAATTACAAAAAAAGAATAAAGATTTTTGTTGTTTTTTGATCTTTAAGTATTATATAAAATTTTTATCTTTTTTAACCTCTTAATGGTTAACGGTGCAGATATGCACCAGGCTAGATTTTCTATTTAGGATTATTTTTTTCGGCTGATTTTTTTAGAATATCATATTTGAGCATTAATCAATATAATTTGAAAAAATTGAGCATTTTTATCCACTAGAAAAATCTTGACCATTAATGGGTTAAACTGATTCTTAATATTTTAAATAGGGTTTAAAAGGTCAAAATAGGAAAGAATTTTGAAAAAATGAAAACGAAATAAAACAAATGGAAATAATAATCATTTATTTTTTATAATGTTGTTTGGTTAGTTAATCGTTTATTTTAAACATGAATATCTCAAGATAGGTCTACGAAAATAAGAATCGGATCAGATAGATGAACTATTAATATTAAAACCGAGTGATTATATTATTCGAATAATTATTATCCGTTTCTATTCGAACTTTTTTATTTTAATAATATCAAAAACCAAAAAAAAATTCTTAAATTTTGTTGGAAATAGTTATTATAAACACTTACCTTCTAATAGGAACTTAACGAACGCTTGAGGGATATGAATAAACAAATATTGCTAATTACTTTTAATAATTTGATTAAAATATGAAAATGCTATTATTAGGCAAATAATTTTTCATCATTCAAATCAATATAGGGTATTTTATCATTCGTAAAGCATGATGCACAAATAACAAATAATCCATGCACACGTATAATTTAAAATTAATAATTTTTATATTAAACTATAAAAATAATATTTTTCAACAATCACCCTCATAAATTAGGGATTTAAATGGAATATTTGTGATAGAAATCGAAACAGTCGACCAATAAGGTATTAGTATTTAGTCATACCCCACCCCCTCCTTTTACATCTAATAAATATACCTATTTCTCCTTTTAATCCGAAATTCGTATTTATTTAATAATTATCATTCATCGCCACCAAGTTGTAATAACGTGTTGCTCTGAGATCCTCCCTAGCTGTGCCACCCCATTAACATACATAAAAATATCTTGGAATTTTATATCTTTATTTTTTTCGCATTATAAATAATTATTTTAATTTCAAATCCAAAAAGCTGCTTTGAACACGTCCTTGGTTACTGATCCCCACTCTTCTCTGCCTTCTTTTCAAAATCTACCCTTCCCAACTCAAAACACGGAAACTTCGCACATTTTACCTAGCGAATTCGCTAACCCTAACGAGGAAAAGGGCAAATGGGTTCAGGAATATGATGCGCGTTCTGAATCCGATGATTCTGACAGTACAAAAAAGAATAAAATGAAAAAAGTGACGATTTTGGAAAATTGATTTAATGTTCAATCGGATTTTCAAATTTTTAAGTTTGATGATTTTGAATTGGTTGGTTGTCTAAAAAAATAATATAGCCTCTTAATAACTCCACACAGAAGATATATTACATTTGTTAAAACAAATCATCCAGGTTCCCTGCCTAAGGAAACGTCATAAATTTAAATTCGATATAATTTTATTTTTCAATATAATTTTTTTTTATACTATCTTTACACTTGTTATAGAAACATATGGCTATCGATCAGCAATACCAGTCAGCTGTTTCAGAAGATATTCTTAAAGCCATATTTGACGCATCTAGCTCAGAATCAGAGTTGGGTGATGAAGGTGAGCTCACAAAAATAAATAAATCTAAAGGTATGTTAATTTTTTTTAGTTTTTAAGGAAATAATTGTTATTGAACCAGGAAGAATATTTGAAGGATTTAAATTATAGGAATTAAATTTGAATAAGAATCAAGTAAGATTGATGAAGGAAATTTAAAATAGAATGAATAAAATAAAGATATTCTTAAATGACAATAATTATTTTTCTAAACATTTTACATCCAAATTTAGATGATCTTATAGATAAGTTTATAATGGAAATTATTGAAGCGACTCTGCCCTCTAAATTATCCTTACATGATTCTGGTAAAGATGGGAGCAACGATAATGGGTATCGAGATGGTAAATAATTTATATAATTTTTAAAGAAAAAAATTTCTATAATACATTTTCATTTTGGACTAATTTGAAAATTAAAATCACTTTAATATAAGATGATGTTGGAATTATAGAGATAAAGATATTGGCACTAAAGATCTGCAAAGCCTGGCCCTTTCTAAAGCCTTAATCAGACCGGATAATTTATGAGAGGGATGTGAACCTGAACCCGGGTTTAAGAATTTTATATTTAATTTAATGGAAATTTTCAAAACAGGAACTTTATCGAAACCAATTTTCTAAGTGGGGTCCGACCCTGCCCCAGGTCCATTTTACCACGGGGTTAATGAGTTGTTCTTAAATCGGTCTCTGTTTGTTCTGTGTTTCAAAATGCCTAACAAAACAATTTTTAATTTCCTAAACCCGGGTTCGGGTTCACATCCCTTCAATTATTAATTTTAATAATTTTTATTGCATCATTCTTATTTTAAAAAGCAGTTGCCTCATACCCTCCATCCCACCACTTTGTAGTATCCACTGGTTGGTATAGAAATAGATAGCTATAAAGGAATGATATAAGAACCTTAATTGACACTAGAAATTAAAATTGATATATATTAAAAATATGAGGGCCTGAAAATTTATACGAAAAAATTTAACAAGCCAGCTCGGACTTTTCATTAAGTTTTAATTGACTGGGCCTGACTTTTCGTAAAACTTTAATGAGTCTAAAAAAAATTTAATGTGTCGAACGATTTGTATTTAAAAAATTTCCGGGCCAGATCTGGTGTGCAAGAATTCTTAACGGTTCGGGCTTTAAGGATCTCTAATCGTCACCATAATATAAAAAATTACCGAATTAATTTTGATGTATTTATCTATCACAAAATTCAGAGATGATAAATTGTATCTCGATATTTTTTTAAAATTTTAGATATTTTGTTATACTAAGTTTATCTTGGGCTGTGACCTCTGCATGCGCGTAGCCAGCGGGAGAGGGAGAAGGGGAGAAATGCCCCTCTGTGGCAAAATTTTTTGAAAAAGTTTAAGGCTCAGGCGTTTAGCCAGCTGGGGCTGGGAGAGAGAAGGAAAAATCCCCACCCTCATCTCTGTAGCAAGAATTATGAAAAATATAAAAGGCTTCATGAATTGTGAAATTGCAAAGTATGCTATTTCAAATACATTATATTCTATTCTAAATATTAGTAAAAAGTTAAAATTAATTTAAATATTAATTTCTTGTATATTAATATTTTATCTCACGAAAATTTTAAGTTTATTTCACATTTTTTAAACCTTAAACACGTATGGATATAACAAAATTTATCAACCAAAAGAAATTCTATTTAATTTATATCTACTAATAACTATGAAAATTTCTAGAATGTATGAAATGTTCAGATATCCAAATAGACAGAATTTTGCTGAATATAATTATTTCTGATATTTCTTGTGATACAGAAAGAAAGACCAAAGCCTGCTTAACAAGATGGAGCCTTCGACATAAAGCTGTTACAACATTTTTTAAATCTAGAAGAGAAGCCATTTTGTATGCCCATGGAAAAATAGCAGGATCACCCGAAAGAGATATTTCATGTGAAACTGATACATTATTAGATTTAATATGACTGCGATTTTTTTCATTGGTATGTATTAATAAATTATTTTGCAAATAAATGGATTTAGCTGAAGTTATGAAAATCGCGAATTTTATTATATTACAACTTAAAAAACCAAGAAATAATAACGATCAGCCTTTCTTGAGATTTTGTGATACATTTTAATATAAAAAAAGTTACCCCCCCCCCTCATTGAAAATTCCTGGCTACGCGCTTTCCTAACTGGAGCATTTTAGCTTCTCAAATGCTAATTTTCATTAATTTTTTAATATTTGCTAAGATTAACACGAAAACTCTTCTTGCATGAATGCATTGTCATGGTGCTTACAGATTAAGCAATTGCGATTCAAGTACTATTGCTAAACGGCTCGATTTTTAAAAACGGCTAATGCAATACTATCAATGAGCTAAATCTCCAGGTTTGCGTAATATTTTGGTTAAAATACCGGTTTAGCCTTTTTTTTAAATGGAGCCGTTTAACAACACTAGATTCAAGCGAAATAAAATCATTCACAACTTGTTAAAATTGAGGCAATATTGAAATATATAAAATAATATATTTGACAATGGTAGAATCACGCTAATTTGAACGATATCATATGTAATTCATTATTTGATATTCTATATGTGTAAAAATCGCGCAATTTCAACTACTATTAGGCTGCATCATAATATGGGATTTTAAATCGTCATGACTTAATAAAAACATTTTGAATTGTGTGGAAAGTCACGCGTTGGACAGGTCCTCCGGAAGAATCTAGATACAGATTCTTTATAAAAAATGGATCTTTGATACAGATACTAGTATCTTATTCAAAATATCAAAAAGATACACGATAAAAGATACATATATTTTATTAAATGATAGTATCTTAAATACAAGATACTTTTATAAAATTACCAATTAAATTAGAATAGTTTATAAAACACAATTTTTATTATTTATAGGTGAAGACCATTACGCATATAATGATAATGAATATTTACAATAATTAATAAAATATTTAAATGAAGGGTTAATTATAATAATTGAAATAGTTGGAGCTAAGAACGTTGGCATTTCTACCACCGGGGAGATGGAGAGATCGATGGAATTCGATGGTCCGGGATTGTTGGAGAGTGGGGGGACGAGGTTTCATTTTAGTCATCATACCTAACTCCAGTCGCGGGTCGCACAGAATGAAGAAAACAACATTTTAATTAACGCATGTGTTATATAGCAATTTAGTACATTTTCTTTAATTAAAAATGGTCGTCGTAATCGAAAATATCAAATGATTCATTCCAAATAAGTAAAATCAAATGTGTCAAAAATAAAATACATCATAATTTTTACTTCCAGATTTTGCATATTTTTTTCTCTTTTTGTAAAGATTTAATACACATCGGCCATCCTTAAAACAAGCTAGGACCAGTTTCAAGTGAATAAAATATAAAAACAAGTTTTTTTTATCATTTACAATTTCGTGGCAAAGTATTGGATAATGATGGACAAAGGGGAGATAAAATGACAAACAATGTAGGGACCAGTTTCTAGTGAAAAAATATAATAACAAGGTATTTATAATTTACCAATTCGAGTAAAACAAAGTGAAGAATAATAATGGACAAAGGGGACAAAATGACAAACAATGTAGGAGGCTTTGAAAGAAGTAGTATTATAAAAGAATTTTTAGTGAAGAAAATTCCATAACATATTGTAATAAACACAACACTTCTCCCCGCTTAAATACTGCTACCACCTCACCGCCGGATCAGGGCGGATTTACGTCCTCAAAAAAATTTAAAGTGTAAAATACGTACAGCCTTCGCCGCATCGCTGGTTAGAACGGATTTTAGTCCTAAGTTAATTTACTTGGAGACACAAAACATCAAACAAAAATGATTAGGCATACGCCGCACCGCTGGGTTAAAGCGGATTTCTAAGTTACTTTATGTAGACCCCCCTCCCAAAAAATAGAGCGCCATGCGTTGCATCGCTGGGTTATTCCGAATTTACGGACCTACTTTCCTTTATGTAGACCCCCTCCCCCCAAAGAACGGCATATGCCACACCGCTTGGTTAGAGCGGATTTATATCTCTACGAGAATTTAATTTTACAAAAAAAATTAAAAATAAATACAGAACACAAAAAAAGATACGGAGTTTCTTTGGATTACAACAATAATGATCTGCATCTGGCCTAATTTTTCAAGCCTGGCCCGGCCCGAATCCAAATTATTTTTTTAAAATAGACCCCATCCCTCGGGCCCGGTACGGGCCGGGCCGTGATTTGCAGCTAAATTATAATAATATGCATTTTAATATTTCTTTTAGCCCTCTCATAGCATCGACAGGATAGGATTCTGGTATTTTTAATGGGAGTTGAAATATTAATTTGCAAAAGAGTATTTAAAATATTAAATTAATTCATTATTTTTTAAGATAAGCAAATTTTACAATTTATCATCTGCCGTTTCAGCTTATTTATAATTGAGCCAAAACTAAAAAACTTAGTAATTTTAAAAAACCTCCTTAACCCTTTCTTGCACAAAAATTTACTAAAAAGTCCGATTTTGCACAGATAAAATTTTTTATTGAAAATAATGGAAATATATTGCAAAAATCTCATATAATTTCGTTATAATTTTATTTTTAAATATAAAAAATATTTCATAAGTTATTACAAAAATTAAAGTGGGGCATCTGCTATCCCACTGTGCAAATAAGTATATTTATTATTCATGATACGGTTTAAAACAATTTCGATTTTAAGAGAGACATAACGCCACAAATCTGAACGATGTTCATCGATAATTGTTGAACAATGATGAGAATATCTTCTTCTTTGACATCTAATCTCTAAAGGCACTTTTTTTTTATTAGATTATTCATTTTTGTCAGCATACCACTCCTAAAGTTTTTCATAGTCATACAAGGTCAAATTTTATAAATCGAAATCAAAAGATTCGCTTTTAGGAGCCAAAGTATTATCATTGTTTGTATGGTTATGGATAAGCAGCTATTCAAATGTATTTTCAGGCATTAGTTTGGCTTTATTAATCTTCGAAATCGGACATTATTCTCCAATAATCCCGGAAGGCTGGTATTTCTTTCATCCTCATTAGCATGTTTATCGGTAAAAAAATTACTCCAATTTCAAAAATATTGGCAGATTTAAATCTGTAATAATAGGGTTGGCATGTCGGTCAATTTCTAAAATATTATTAGAGAATAAATATTTTGATAAATTAACTAGTATGCATTAAAAGCATGTTTATCAATCTTATTAAGTTACAATTTATTTTAAAATATACTTGCATCATAAATAATCCAAAACAAAAGAATTTTTTTTGTTACTAAAATAAATAAATACAATAATTTAGCTAAGTCATGGTTTATTATGAATTTAAATTTATTTAATA